CACCCCATACTTCTGTTGATTAACATTCCAAATAAAAGTGACTAGATGAGTTTTGTCCAACAGTCTGTTGGTATTATGTATTCTATACCATATGTGTTATTCTAAATTGGCAGGATCTACAAAACTTGTTTTACTTTTTAATTAACATATATTGATTATACAAAATAATGGATTTCATTGTGACATTTTCCTGCATATGTATAATTTGCTTTGATCATATTTACCCCCTAGTCCCCTCTGTTGTCCTCACCCCTTCATGTTCCCTTCATCTTCCCAGATTAGGACAGAAAGATATTTAAATGGACAATTGCTCATCAGTATAACAAGTATAAAAAATTCTAGCCAATTTTATCTCTAATCTCAGGTCCATGTCTGGTAGATCATGGTGCTGTCGCAGTTAGCCCAGGTAGTCAGAGATACTGTGATGGCAGACATTGGACCAGGTGCTTGCCCTTTCAAACATAAACCTATCATAACAATTTGAGAAGAAAGCACTAACCCAGTTTTAAAGATGTGGAAATATAGAGCTGGAAAGATGGCTCAGTGGTTAAGAGCACATACTGCTCTTTCAGAGGCCCCAAGTTCAGTTCCCAACACCCACATTGGGCAGCTTACAACTGCTTGTAACTCCAGCTCCAGGGGTTCTGATGTCTCCGGTCTCTGCAGGGACTGTACTCAGATATACACGCACACACACACACAATTTAAATAAAATTTTTTTAAAATGTGGAACTTAAGCTGGGGTATGGTGGCACACACTTTTAATCTCAGCACTCAGAGACAGAGGGAGAGGCAGGCAAATCTCTGTGAGATCAATGCTAGCCTAGTCTACATAGCTAGTCCCAGGCCAACTGGAGCTACAGGGTAACCTTGTCTCAAAAAAAAAAAAGGCCAAAAAAATGTGGACGTTAAGTGTATAGAACAGTTCAGTAACAGACCTCCTAATCACACAGTTGGTAAGTGATGGAACCAGGATAAAATCCACACAGAGTGATTCCATTGCTTCTGAATACTTGAGTAAATGAATGCAAGGAAGGGAGGGAAGGAGCTGGGAGAGAAAGAGTTTGGAGATAAGTGAGCAGGCTAAGATGAAAGCATGCTCAAGGTCACTGGAGGACCATGGGTGGGATGAGTTGGTTCTATTTCCTAAAGGATTCAGTGCTTAAATTGAGTTGGTATCACTGTCTCGGGCAGGTCAGGGAACAGAGCTAAGGCCAACCCTTCCACAGTTACACTAGATCCTTCTCCCTCGCACCACACCCTCTGTCCTGTCTCTGCTGCATCAGGAGTTTTTCCTCATTCTAGTCAGTGGATAGACATGCTCAGATACCTCTTACCCTCAAAAACAAGCAAGCCTCAGTCTCTTTACCCTGCTCCTCCTCCACCTATTATGGCATTTCTGTCTCCTTTATAGAAATCTCCTAAAAATAGACTGTTCTGATTCTAGTTCCTCTCCTGTTCCCTCTTAAATCCAGTGGAAACAGAGTTGTACCCTCCCCCAAACACTCCAGTGAAACAGCTATTGCAGAGGTCAGCAGTGGCCTCCATGTTGCCCAGTCCGGCTCTCCAGTCCAGGCCACACCTGAGCAGCCTACCCTGTTTGACACCACTGGTCCCTGTGGAACATCACATTCTCTCCTGATTATTTTCACCTTTAAAATTTTTTTTATTTTATGTGTATGAGTATTATGCCTACATGTGAAGTGCACCCATACCGTGCAGTGCCTGCGGAGGACAGAAGAGGGTGTTGGATTTGCTGGAACTGGAGTTGGGATAGCTAGCTGTTAACCCCCATGTGGGTGCTGGGATTCAAACCTAGGTCTTCTGCAAGAACAGCCAGTGCTCTTAAGTACTGAGCCATCCCTCCAGCCTCCTATTTTCACTTTTTTTTTTTGTCTTTTTGAGACATGGTCTTCCTGTAGCCCCAGCTGGTCAGAAGCTTACTATGAAGACCAGGCTGGCCTTGAGCTCACAGAGATCCTCCTGCCTCTGCCTACTGAGTGCTGGGAATAAAGGCATGTGCCACCACACCCAGGCTAGTTCCACGTTTTTTGAAAATTTCTTTTTATTTTATGTGTATGAGTGTTTTGCCTGCATGTGTGTAAATGTACCTGTGTCATACAATGCCTGCACAGGCCAGAAGAGGGTGTCAGATCCCCTGGAACTAGAGTTATGGATGATTGGTAGCCACCATGGTGCTGGGAGCCAAACCCAGGTCTTCTTTAACAGCTGAGCCATCTCTCAGGTCACTTTTTGTTTTTTTGAGATAGGGTCTCATTCTGTAGCCCAGCCTCCCAAGTGCTAGGATTATAGGCATGAGTCACCTTGCCTTTCTCTTGATTATTTTTCCTATCTAACCTTTAGCAAAGCAATTCAGTGCTGCGCTTCATCTCTCAAATATTGACCTTCCTGATGCATGTATTGGTCAAGGCAGCAGTGCTCCCTGTGATTGAATTTAGGCTCAAGCCAGGTGCTCAGAGCCTGACTCAGTTCCCACTGCACATGAGGAGAATAAACATGGGATTTTCAATCACTTGCCCAAGGTCACGAGCTTGTCAATGTCATCTATGGAGGCTTCTGATTCCAGATGTAACATTTCCATTTACTGCCCATTGCTCAGCCTGATTCCTCAAACTTGGCCCTTCTGAACAAAGTGGGGGTGGAAGTGAGGTTTTCTTTTGGGTTCCAGTCTGGTCATCTGGGCTTCCTCTAAAGTGCATGTGGTTTACACTCTTCACCCCAGGGACTCGGTAGTCACGTTCACAGCACAATGGGCACTCTTACTGGGTGAAATGCTCCATCTCCCACAGTGAAAGGCCAGCTGCAGAATAGGAGAAGAACAAGGGCCAAATGATTTAATCAGACATGGGGGGGGGGTGCTCCTGGCATTTGGAGTGAGTGCCTAGAGAAACTAACTGTTCTGGCCCGAGGGAGCTGACGACCATTAATCTTGGTGGGTTTGACCGATGACTGCCCCAGAGGTCCCAGCCTGCGGTATGACTCAGAGTCCCCAACACTCTCCCTATTCTTCTCTCTCTGGGACATTCAGGAGGCCATTTCTAAGGCATTTTAATTTGGTAATAATTGACATGAACCACTATACCCAGACTTGCTTTCTAAATGAGGGTTGGTAGTGTTCATCATCCATGGCATTCGACTACCTTTCACTGAGAAGAGTAGATTCCCACCTGTCATGTTGGGCACCCACATCCCTGCATGCCAGCTGACCAGCACTTTCTCCTCCCCTTCATGAGTGCCCCCCTCAGCCCTTCTTCATCAAACACCTTTGAAGAGCTGAGGGTATAAAATGGGGAGAGGAAAGGTGGCCAGAGGTTTGTCTGTTGTGCATTTAGTATTACAATGCCCCCTGTTAAGACTAGCAGGCGCCATCTGTCTTCCAACTTCTTTGTAAACTTTCTGGAATTCAGAAAGACCACAGAAACCCAGTACAAGTTGGGCAACCCCGAGGGTGGAGGGTCAGGAGACATGGCATGAAGGCACTCAAAATGTCGCAGTGCTGTGTACATACTTCCAAAGAGAAGGGCGAGGCCTTCTTGACCCTCTTTTCTACCCATATCCGGCCATGTCAGCCACTCCTACTGGTGCCGGGCTATGTGCCAGCCTCCGTGATCGTGTTGCTGGTGGTGTCATGTGAGTAGCTCCAGACAAGAGCAGATGCAGCTGCATAGACTTGGTCCAGCTCTCCATTTTTCCAAGCCCCTAGTGTCCGTTTGTGGTGCATGGCACCCACTCTCAGGACTGTTGAGAGAAGGAACTGAAAACTATCTAGAGTGTGTTAGTCACTGTGCTTAGTCCAAAAGCTTCCAGTAAGTTCGGTAATTGCACTGACGTCTATATTTCATTTCCAAAATACAGTTGTTTACATAGGAAAGTACTGTTTTTCTCCTGTTAGGACCTTTGCCTTTCTTTTGCCTACCAAATAAAGTCCTCGCGCCACACTCAGTATTTGCATTTCAGGCTTTGCATTTTGTTGGTAGGGAAGGCTTAAAAATGGAGACTTCTGGTGGGTGTGGTGGCGCACACCTTTAATCCCAACACTTGGGAGGCAGAGGCAGGTGGATCTTTGTGAGTTGGAGGCCAGCCTGGTCTACATAGTGAGTTTCAGGACAGCTGGGGTTACAAGGAGATCCTGTCTCAAAAAGACAAAAGACCAAAAAAAAAAGGAGACTTCTAAAAGTCTGAACTCAGTGAGTAGTCATTTGCATAAGGCCCTGGACTAGGCCCCCAGGGGTGAATCGAACTTGACACCCAGCAGGGGGTGACATTGTCCCAGGCTTTCTAGAACAGGCACACAAGCCCCACCCCTCAATCCCTGCTGAAAGCCATGCTGAGGCCTGACTTGCTTTCCAGCCCCACCCAGCAGACCAACTGGACATCAGAGAATTGGCAGCAGGCCCAAGGGCCAGGGTGGAAGAGGTTGGAAATCAGAGTGGGCATCTAGCAAGGTTTCACTCAGTGACCCAGCAGTTTGTGCCTCTAGCCCAAAGTCAGTTAGGGATACATTAGTAGCCCAGTAACACACGTTTTCAGGCCACTGTGAATGGTTTCCACTAGGTGGGTCATAGTGGGGATAGAAAGGATAAAAGCAGAGGAGAGTGGTATCTAGGGACATACTAGAAGGGTGGAAGGGCCAGTGCCTCTGGCTATATCAAGGCCTGAGCGGCTCTGTCCTGTAGCACTCAAGTGCCACCAGCCCAATTGTGGAACCTGGTTGTGATCCTGATTTCCTCAGGGTCAATCAGGCTTATTGCAAAGAATCTTTGCGACCTTTTGCAGAGACCTTTGAGGGACCTTGTTTATTGAGCTAATTCTCTTAGGGACTTGGGGTTTGATCCCTAAACCTTGATATGGAAAAGGGCTGTAGAACCTACCTCAGGGAAGGACGCTATTCTATTCAGCCCCTGTGGCTCTTCATGAATTGATAATGTACTGACTGCTCAGTGCCTGTGGCAAGATGTGACCTTCCTTCTCTCCCACAGGCCAGCCGAGTTAGCTACCAAGTACGCAAACTTTTCAGAAGGAACTTGCAAGCCTGGCTATGCTTCAGCGCTGATGACTGCCATCTTCCCTAGGTAAGTGCTTCTTTCCTCTGATGCCTGTATAGTGTGAGCTTTGGCCCAATAGTGAGACCTGGGCCCTTGGGTTTCATGACCTTAAGTCACTGGTGTTGTAGGACTCAGTTTTGGCTGACCCCACCCAATCTCACTGTGCAGTTGCTACAGTATACTATATCTACCTCTAAGAGTTGCACCTGGCCATACAGCTTAGAGGCCAGAGAGGAGGTAGAATTTGTGTGGCTGTCCTAGAAGCCTGGTGTCCAGAGCCACCAGACCAGGCTGCCTGGCATAAACACTTCTAGTCCTGGTTAGCACTGATCAATCCAAGCTGAGTCCCAGAGACTGACTTCAGGAAGACCTAACCAAGTGAAACAAGGATGAAGACTGTTTCCTGCCGCTGTCTACGTTTTAGCACCTATCCCCTGTCCACTTTGCATTCTGGGGCACCTGATTTCCTTGACTTTAAGCTTGCCAAAGGAATCTGTGCCTAACCTAAGACATTCCTTGTCAAGTGCCATTAACAGGCCTTAGTGTGGAATAGGGACTAAAGAGCTGAGACTGCCTTGTCTTGTCTCGAGTGCTTGACAATGTCAGAATCCTTCAGAAAGCGGTGGGAGCTTCCAACCTGGGATGAAGGAAGGGCTGCTCAGGACCCTCTGGGCATTGAGATGTAGCACTCTGTCCCCTGCAAGAGGCCTGGGGGCAGCTCTGCTCTCTGGGAAGGACATGCATCCCATCTTTAGGAGGCTGAGGCGAGGGCACACAACAAAGTTGCAGAGGAATGCTGCGAAGCAGCTGACCCCAAAGCAAGAAGCCCATGATCTTGGGTTGAACACTGTTCCCTTCTCCCTTGTAACCAGTCCCACTTAGCTCTTTGTGAAAAGCAGGCCTAGAGTACCTGGGGCTGAGATAGAGCTCCCTTGGTCTGGGATCTGCCTTCTGAATTGACTCCCATTGCCTTAAATCCTCTAGCTGTTGTTTGCATCTTTAAAGTGTCTAGAACTGTGCTCTGTATTCTTACACGCTTTCACAAGCCTACAAGACTCCATCCCTGAGCCTAGGCATTGTGAGTTTTTCTTGACATGGACCACAGTTTTCTCCTTTTTCTAACAGAAAATAGTGTGTGTGTATGTGTGTGTGTGTGTGTGTGTGTGTGTGTGTGTGCATACGTGGAGGGGAGGGGGGTTACGACTCAATTAATGCAAAATGCCCCTCTTGCCCTCTTCCCCAGAGACAGCCACTATGATCACAAATGGAGCACATTGACTGTTTTGTTCTATAGTTTCCTTTTACTTGTAAAAATATGTTAGAGATTATGCTACTACTTGTATATGTTGTTCCATCTCTTTTTCTGTTTTAATTTATTTTGGGGGTGCCTAGGACCAAACCCAATGTCTACCTCTAAACTATCCACTAAGTCCCCCATATCGTTTTTTTAATTATTGCATAATATATCATTGTATAGATACATTGTAATTTTATTAAAGGTAGGATTTGTTGAAGTTTAATTTGTATACAGTCAAATTGACCTTTTAGTGTAATTCTGAGTTTTGCATACTTTGTGTGACCACCACAGGCATTAGGAGCACATTCTCATCTCCTTCCAAATTCCCTGTGTTCCTTTATAGTTAGGTCCCCTTTCACCCTCAGCCCCTGACAATCACTGACCTGTTTTCTTTCCGGGTAGTGTTTCTAGACTAACAAATGAACAAAATCATAGTATGAAGCTTTTGAGACAGCTTCTTTCGTTTAGTGTACTGCATCCATTTTGTACAATCCATGCATCTGTATATGCTAGTTGTTGCTTTTGGTTGCTGAATAGTCTTCAAACTGTCTGTCTACTCAGTCTGTCTACTAACAAACAGTCCATCTACTCAGAATTCAAAAGACATATAAGCTAATTTCAGTTTGAGACAATTATAAAGAAAGCTACTATAGAGGTTTTATCTTGGAGGAGGTAATCAACAGCTACCTAATTGGACTTAAAGCCCACTCAATGGGAGAAAACTTATATCTGGTACTGTAAACCTAGCCAGATACACATAACTGGAGAGGTCATAGGTCTTAGAGAAAACCCAAGGCTCTCATATCCCTAGACAAATGTAATTTCTTACTATGTGCAAAATATGGATCCTTAAATTTATAGTCAAGTAAGTAGGTGGGCGTGGTGTCACATGCCTTTAATCCCAGCACTCAGGAGGCAGGCAGATCTCTGTGAGTTCAAGGCCAGCCTGGTCTACTTAGTTCCAGGCCACCTGGGGCTACAGGGAGACCCTGTCTCAAAAAGATAAAACAACAACAAAAAATTACGGATAAGTATCCCAGGCACCACCCATCAAAGTAGCTTCTTTTTCAACAGACAGAGATTATTACAGAGTTATGCCACTAGTCACACACAGAGATTTTCTGTGAATTGCCCAAGCGTAAGTGGCACATTTAGGATGCAACCTCTACACCTAAGACTTACAGAACATAGAACAAGGCATAAAAAGAACACTAATGCATCTTCTAGTTCTCATCAATGAAGCTCCCTTGTGCAACAGAGGACCAGGAACACAAAAGGTCACACATGGCCAAAAGGCAGCGAATAAGAGTTGGCAAAGTGTGGGTCCTTGGACAGTTCTCCTATATTGAGGTCTACCCACCCAGGGTTCAGGGACCATTGCAGAAGAGGGGGTGGAAAGAGTGTAAGAGCCAGGGAGGAGGTACATGACCATATGGAAATAGTCCTGCAGGTGCCTGGGACCCTTCTCATACAAATCTACAGCAATGGTGTCAGCACGCACAAGACCCATGCAAACTTAGGCAGACAAAAACCCAGCACAGAACTGTAGAAATGAACAGCAAGCTCCAATCTTAGTTGAAGATTGGTAGCTGATTACTGCTGGGTGAGGAAGAGCTGATCTTGAAGAGATAGGCTGGTGGATGAACTTGTACTGAGGGACACTAACTTTACATAATAGGTCTTAATACAAATGACAGAATGTATGAACTGCAGTGGAGGGCTATGGGAGGGTGTCAAAGGGGAAAGGATATAAAGATGATTTTATGTATGAAGTACACAAAAATTCAATAAAAATTAATTCAAATTTTTTATGCATTATTTTTATTTTATGTGTATGGGTATATTGCCTGCATGTATGTGAGTGCACCCGTGTCATGCAATACTTCAGAGGTCAGAAGAGGGCTTCGGATTTCCCTGGAACTGGAGTTAAGGACAGTTTGTAGCTGCCATGTGGGTGCTGGGAATCGAACCCAGGTCCTCTTCAAGAGCAGCCAGTGCTCATAACCACTGAGCCATCTCTCCAGCCCCTAAAAATTATTTTTAAAAACTACTATAGCACTAGGGCTTTTGGGGGAGAAAAAACTCTTCAAACATATAGTACAGGCTTTTGTATGAACATATATGTTCATTTTTCATGAGTAAATACCTATGAGTACAATGACCAGATCCTGTGTTATACGTAAGTCTTACTTTGTAAGATACTGTCAGACTGTCTTTGAACATGATTGTACTGTTCTGCTGTCCAACCAGTAATGTATGGGTGTTCCAACTGTTGGATGTTCTTGCCATCTGTCTTTTTCATTTTAGCCACTATATAATAATATAATTTATAATAATATCTCTCTGTTCTTAGCTAGTCTTTTACTAATAACTGATAATACTATTTTTCTAGGGGCTTACTTTTCATTTGTTTATCTTTATGGAACTTTCTATTTCAATCTTTTGCTGTTTTCTAATTGGCTATCTTATTGAATTGCAAGTTCTTTAAATATTCTGGATAGACTCTGTCAGATAAATGACTTTTTTTTTCTGCATCCCTGCCCACCTCGCCGACATCCCCATGACTTTCTTTTTTAATATAATATTTTTACTCTTGAGAATTTTATATGTGCATACATGTATTTTGATCATACTCACTCCCACTCCTCCCCCTAACTCCTCCCAGATGTACTTCTACCCCCTCAACTTCACATTGCCCCCCCCCTACTTTTTTATAACCCATTGAGTCCAGTTTATGCTACCCATATACTCATGGATGTGGGGCCATCCATTGAAGCATGGTCAGCCTACCAGGGACCATACCCCTAAAGAAAAATAACTCTCCCTCCCCTAGCAACCATCAGCTGTCAGTCAAGTCACTTTTCAGACAGGGGTATGGGCTCATGAATCCTTTCTCCTTCCATGCTAGAATGTTGACTGCCTTGATCTTGGGCAAGTCTTGTGCAGGCAACCACAGCCATTGTCAGTTCATGAGTGCAGTGTACCGCATATCTAGAAGACACTGTTTTCCCCTGGCTTTCCCCAACCTCTGGCTCTTACAATCTTTCCACCCCCTCTTCTTCAATGTTTCCTGAGCCCTGGGGAAGGGAATAAATGGTTTTCTTGTTATTCTCTTAATAAACACGAAGTCCCAATTTAATCACCTTATTTTTCTTTTATGTATTATACTTTTGGTGTTGAATCTAAGAAATCTTTCTCAACCCCAAGATCAAAAGGGGTTTTTCTTGTTTTTGTCTTGAATTGTTATGGGTTTAGTGCTAACATTTAAGCCTCTGACCTGTTGAGAGTTCTTTTTTATATATAGTGGAAAGTAAGGGATAAGATTCCCTTTCTGCATATAGATGTTTACTTGTTCCAGAACAGTATGTTGAACACCCATACATACACACTGAATTACGTTGGTGTGTTTATCGACTATCAGCTGAACATGTCATGTGCATGGGTATTCTGGTGGTCTTTGCCTTTGAGCTAATGCCTTACACAGCTGGACAGTCATGTCTCCTATTACTAAAAACAGCTTTATTCCTTCCCAATGTGAATTCCTCTTCTTTTTAATTTATTTTATTTATTAGTATTGTGTGTGTTTATGACATGTATGTGTGGGTGTGCATCCATATGGAAATAAGAGGACAGCTTTGGAGTCGATTCTCTCCTTCTACCTTTTTGTAGGTTCTGGGTATCAAACTCAGTTCATCAGGCTTCATGGCAAGTACTTTTACCCACTGAATCA